GCGTTTCCCTTCGCCTACTTTTCTGTTGTCCATCCCCCAGGGAGGAGGTTATATGTAGATCCTTGTAATCGGTTCCCCCTTTCTACCTGCCCCTTCCCTCCTCCCTCCTGTTATCACCACTCTCACCGCTGGTCCTGAAGGGTTCATCTGTCCTGGATTCCCTGTGTTTCCCGTTCTATCTGCACCACTGTACATCCTCTGGTCTAACTAAGTTTGTAAAGTAGAATTGGGATCATAATAGTGGGAGGAGGGCAGGGAGGAAGCATTTAAGAACTAGAGGAAAGTTCTGTGTTTCATCGATGCTACACTGCATCCTGAGTGACTCATCTCCTCCCCACTACCCCTCTGCAAGGGATGTCTAGTTGTCTACAGATGGGCATTGGGTCCCGATCCCGCACTACCCCCTCATTCACGATGATATGATTTTTTGTTCTTTGGTGCTTGATACCTGGTCCCTTCTATCCCTCGTGATCACACAGGCTGGTATGCTTCTTCCATGTGGGATGTGTTGCTTCTGGGATGGATGGCCGCTTGTTTACCTTCAAGCCTTTAAGACCCCAGGTGCTATATCTCTCAATAGCCGGGCACCATCAGCTTTCTTCACCACACTTACCTATGCACACATTTGTCTTCAGCGCTTATATGGGGAAGGTGAGCACACAATGATGGTTTTTGTTCTTTGGTGTCTGCTATCTGATCCCTTCAACACCTCGTGATCCCACAGGCTGGTCTTCTTCTTCCCTGTGGACTTTGTTGCTTCTGAGCTAGATGACTGCTTGTTTATCTTCAAGCCTTTAACACCCCAGATGCTATATCTTTTGATAGCCGGGCACCATCAGCTTTTTTCACCACATTGCTTATGCACACGTTTGTCTTCAGCGATCAGGAAGGTGGGTATCATGGAATGACTATTTATTTGAGCAAACTGTTCTTTTATTGAGGGAGTACATGAATGGAGGCCCAATGTCCATCTGCTACCCTACTACTAAACCTATAAATATATGCACATAGATCTATTTATCAAAAAAATCATAAATATATTTACATATGTACATGCTTGTATTTAGGCCTCTATGTATGCCCTTTGCCTTCTACTTCTTTCCTCTATTTCCTTTTGCTTTCCGCTTGTCCCACTACCATGTTCAGCCTTCATTTGGGTTTCAGTAATTCCTCTTGGTTACATTGCCCTTGATCATGCCCTACCAGTTTTCCCACCCCCTCCTTGCCACTGGTTTTGAGTCACTCGTTGTTACCTTGTCTCTGGATTGGTTAACACCTCTTCCCTTCCCCCACTTCCCACTCTGCCATGTCCCCCCAGAACCGTTGGTCCCATTGTTTTCTTCTCCACATTGTTTATCCAGTCTATCTTATTCAGATAGACCTGCAGAGATAATAATATGCACATAAAATTGCGGATGGCCTCAACAACACCAAACAAATTGGCACAAAAACAAGGCGATGATGGGAGCAACAAGCATGTTTTCCTTCTTATGAATTATGATCTACAAATAGAAATGAAAAATAAAAAGAAAGAAACAAGGATGGTTTCTCTCTGGAAAAGGACATCTTGCTTGTTAAGAAGGCCACCAAAATGAGGATGGATTGACACAATGGTTAAAACAATGAACTCAAACAGAGAAACAATTATAAGGATGGTACAGGCTAGGCAGTCTTTCCTTCTATTGAACATAGTGTCACTATGAGTTGGAACTGACTCAACAGCAACAGCAATCCTGTGCAGAATCTCTTCTTCTTCTTCTTCTCCTTCTCCTTCTCCTTCTCCTTCTCCTTCTCCTTCTCCTTCTCCTTCTTCTTCTTCTTCTTCTTCTTCTTCTTCTTCTTCTTCTTCT